TCAAGGCTAGCTTAAGTACTTCCTTCAATCCTGAGGCACTGACTATTGATTTTAAAAGGTGTGTTGGTATTAGTGAGTTACACAATCTGAAGTTTCCTTATCAAGTAATTTTGCTTGCAAGTTGCATTAGTTCAAATTTCTGTGGAATTCAAAAATAGAAAAAGCAAACAGCCAAAGGGGTTTCATTCAAAATGTCAATAGAAATGTGATTTATTCCTGTGATTTTTATGCATCTCTCTGGCTCTTTTTCCCTCGTTGGTCTCCTTCTCTGGAAGTCACTCCGTCTCTCTCTCTGTGCCCCAAACAAGCTAAGCATGAGATGACAAGCACTTCAAGCAAACAAGTTGTTAGCCTAAAAGACTTCCCATGAGTAAGGTCTTAAGCAAAGACCTTTTGCAAATCTATGCCCCTGCAAATTTAGGATTTGGGAAGGATGAGGATTGCAAATGCTACCGAGAGAGAATTAGGCAACTATGCTTCTTGAAATATTTAACTTGTGTTTATGGTGGTGTTTTAAGGCATAAGACATTTGCAACCCACCAACAGCATACAGTCTGCACAAGAGGTGCTTCTAAACATACCGTTCTGTGCTTTGGGCACTGCAAATCCAAACAGCTGGAGAGGTTTCTAAAAGTCTGCTTGGAAATGTACTCTAGTGATATTCTTGGAAATAAAGAGGTGACAATTGCAGGATGTCACTGTACAAGAAAATCCCAGCACTCAAAATACAGGTGCCACATGATTATTTCTAAAGAACTTCTGCAAATTTCACGAGGAATATTGATGATACTGCTCTTCTGAATACCCTTGCAGGGTCATTTTGTCATGTCGAAACACTATTAAAGAAAAAGAACTGACAAAAAAAAAACCCAACAACAAAACAAAACAGACAGCTAAGAACATCACTGAATAACACTGTGGAAGATTTCTCTAAGGTAGTATTAAACCAGGGGAAGCAAAGTCAGTGATGATGGTAGTCAGGTAACTAGCTACACTCAGCCCAGCAATTCAAAACAGCAGTGTGTGGACAAGCACAGCAAGCAGGAGAGATAATGGTGGAGCTAAACACTGACTGATCTTCAGAAATATAAAACACCATCAGCAATGAACTTCCATTACACCAAAATCTGAGCGGGCTTTTCAAAGCGGTAAGTGATTCTGTGCAGGAAGCAGTCGCAGTTTTATTAATTTTTCTGGAATTAAAATCTTCCAGAAGTAAAAGAAGTGCATTTTGACTTGAAGCATTGCATTGTGAGAAAAATCAAACTGTCTAACTAGTAGTCAACGATTAATTTTGATATATTATTCCTAATAATAACAATGACCAGAAGGCAATTTAACAGTTAGCCCCATCAACCGAGGAGTAAATGGAACCTGGATCCCCATAGCTCTGTGTCTTAGTGTTGGTCGGCTTGTGTATTTCAGAAGTTGAGAAGCTTTGCCTGCAGCTGGGTGTTTTTAAGGTCTTTCTCTCACATGGTTTCACTGTTATCTAATAGAGGTTCAGCTCCTGCTGCAGTCTTCCTGTCAACAAGAACATTTATGGGATCCCTCTTTTTTGCCCATCTACTTTCATGAAACTGCTAGCACCTTGATAACCCCTGAGGCCTCTACCGCTCTGTAAATTTGGTCACGGTGTTGAATGGTTATTGGATGGAGGGCAAACACCTTCCATATTTATACATGTATGTATGCACACTGAGCATGATCCCATGCCCCTAATTTCCTAAGCAGACCATCCAAACAAAAATAAGCAGAGCTTTTCAAAATGACAAATCACAACACTGTTCCCAGAAAAGGCCAAACTGAGTACAAAAAAAGGCCAAAAATTTGTTTTTGCAGATTTTGTTTTGAAATGGTTTTGTTTGTTTGTTTTTTTACCAATGGCCAGCTATTCTCTGGCAAGGTTTCCAAACTGATCCCTGTGTAAGAAAAGAATGGAGCTCAGACTTCCAAACCCAGTCCTGGCACTACAGGGGAGTACTGTTGAGCATGAACTGCTCTTCATCTGCAAACTGAGCTGAGCTGGTGTGGGTACAGCTGAACCCCACACAGTCTGAAACAGCACGCTCAAGCAAGGAATCACTGTAAGTCGGAGAGCTTTCAGGCTGCCAGAGCAAATTGCAAAGGGTCTCACAGCCCTGCCGAGCAGCGTTCACTGGGCCTCCACTGCTCTCCTACCTCACTTCCATTTGCTTTTGCCCATGCCCACATTTGCCTACGAGCAGGAGAACCCCTCATAGTGTATTTCCACAACTTAGCTCAGAGAGGGTGGGCAGCATGTCTCCGAGCACAGGGCTTGATAGATTTGTCTCGTAGCTACAGAGGGAAACCCATCCTACCAATCTCCCAGCCCACATGAACAGGAGCACGGAGGGACTATCCTGTCAAGCAATACAGACACTTCCACTGACGCATCCCAGAGGTGTTCAGTGATGGAAATAAGCCAAATACCAGCACAAGGAAGGAACCGTTTGGACCCCCTAGGGCAATCTGGGGTTTGTTTAGGCAGATTCACAGCCTTTTTAACTTGAGGGTGCTGGAGACATGTGAATCTTACACTTCCTGCTATTAAACAGCAAATCCCACTGATGCCAGTGGATCTCACAAGAAGAGAGTGAGAGCAAGTGAGATGAGGGACCACAGAAGACCCTATGGAAATGGGACAAGGTGCTACAAGAAAATAGTATGAAATATGCTATCTGAGTTTAGAAGACATTTAAATATCTGTTGTAGCAATGAGGAAAAGCAAAAACCTGTAGTTCTGTCTCTGTTACACAGCAGAAGTCCACCACGTTCCATGAAGCCAATTTGATTTCAGGTGTGAAAAATCCAAAAGAAATACATTTACCCTTGTTCTTCAGGTCCACTTACTGTGATTTAGGACATGGGCATCATACACATTCTCTGCTGGTTCCTAAGATGGAAATACACAAATGGGAGGATCCAGCTTTTCTTGCCACATCGGTCATGATGACATTTGAAAGGCAATTTGCTTAACACTCCTGTAAAAAGAATCAAAGATGCCACCTGAAACCAGAGTGACGTGCATTTCCTCATAGCTGCTTGTGTTTCAGTTAAGAAACATGATTTGTTTTCCAATGCATGTTATCACTTGCTGGGTTTACATTATGTCAAAAATGATAAAGAAGCAGAATCAAAACTGTATTAAACCTGTGTAGTTAATACTTTAAATGCATGTTATTGTTTGAATGGTTTGAGTAACATAATACCTGAAAGAGTGCAAACAAGTGACACTGAACATGGAGCTCTGGGCAGCACAAGCTGTGGGTCTGGGCAGGAGGCTGCTTATGTCCTTCCCCTGAGAAAGTAGGTCATGTTTTATGACAACACATATTTTTTTCTGGATAACACCAGTTCATTGCACTCTGTGGAAAGGTGATGGTTCTGACTGAAGCTTTGCTAGGAGGGTTCTCATCTTTCATGTGGTGAAAAGCCAATAGCAGATACTCAATAGCTGAATTGGTAAGGGTACAGGGTAAGTTTCTTTCTTGCCCTTCCTCAGGAGGACATCTGGAAGCGGTTACTCATTGTATAAGTAATTAAAGAGCAATTTGGCCAGAAAGACTGACACCCTAACCTGCTGTGGTGAGATTGGGACATGCCACTTGCACCACAGTGGCCAGTTTCTGTGTGTTCAGGGACATTCATACTCCCAGATGGGCATCTGGAGGCTAGACCAATACAGGCATGATTTCACAGTTCAACTTAATAACCCTGCCAGACTGGGCTTCTGCCCACACCCCCTCCTTCCCACATGCACTCAAAAATATCTCCAAACAGCCTGCCAAATCCAGAGCTCCCAAGGAGATAAAAGTGCTCCATGAGCTTGTTTTGGCTGTTTGGTATCTGGTCAATCATTTCTGCCTACAATACAGAAGGCTGCTGAAAACTGTGTCTCAACTTGGTCAGACGCGGGCAGCTCAGAGTGCCTTGTGCTGAACCCATAGCACTTGCAGCAAAGACCACTTCCAGCAAATCCAGCTGTGGGAAAGAGCCGGGAGAGGCTGGGCAGGAAAGTGGCCAAATTTGCTGTGTTAGTCCTGTGTGTGCTGCTCACTAAAGGAACAGGCATATCTCCACCCCTTGCCATCCATCGCCTTGACATCCCATAGGTGTTTTTGATGCATTCCCCTGGGGCTAAGGTAGGTGAAGCTCCATCTGTGATATTCCTGCGCACTTTGACTCTTGAACCTGCGATTAGTTGAAGAGCGTTATCAAAACTTCCGTCAGCACAGCGCAGGCAGTGGGGTTTCCCTGACACATAACTGCAGCGTTCAGCAACTCGCCTTGGCAAATCGCTATGATTCAGTGAGTTATTTTCCAGATTGCTCAACCCATAGAACTGTATGTATTAAGACATATTATCGCCTTCTTCATTTGGGGTGATGGTACCATATGCTAATAAAGAAAGGTGGGAAATACCATCCTGGGGAATGGTCGGGTGAATTGTCTTCCCTCCAAAACCCTGCACCGCCACCCTAGTTTGCCTTATAACCCCGTTCCGGCGGGGCTCTGCAGTGGGCATGGGCACCCC